GAAACAAGACACCACTTCACGCTGTATTATAACGTCTATTGTCTACATTTATTGTCCATGTCTGTTTGTCATTTGTAGCTATTTTTTTTCTCTACTGTTACTGGGTAGAGCTGAATAAGTAAGCATTCCAATACACTTCAAATCTTGAATCTTGAACTGAACAGCGTCACACTGGAACACAAATCCAGCTGCACAGACCGGGAATTTTGGCCAGGCTGTGAGAACATTGAAGACAAAAGCACTGCTAAATAATAATAAAGCACCAATAAGCGGCGAAATAATAATAAAGCACCAATTAGGACACACCAACACAACATAAACTGGAATGCTACCAGACCCTAGTGAAAAAAAAACACACAGTGACCGAGTATCTGACCAAAGTAAAAAACAGACAGGAAAAACAGACTCTGATGAAGAACAGGCTCAATGACGATGACCTGGCTGTAGAAACTGGGTGACACAGGCAGGCCGGGATATGCAGAGAAGACAGGCTCTGCTCCCACTACCAGCAAGGAGAAGCAGCGACAAAGACGCACTTTCTGCTGCACTTCAAAAAATACAAAGGGATTTTAGACAAACATTCTTCACTAAAATAAGGCATCTAATTCCAACAATTTCCACACCTGTTAGAATCAGAACAGCTTCCAATACCTTCCACACCTGCCAAAACCACAACAGGTCCCAATCCTACTGGGAGAGGGAGGAGGGAACTCAGTTGATCTGGCAGCCCAGTATGTGATCTCCTGTCACAGCCTGAGGAACAGTGAGTCTGTCTCCCAATAATGCTCCAGCCGCCTACAGTATATGTCAATATTTTATAATATGTCTTTGTTGTAAATGTCTGTAACATGTCTGTAGATTTTATTTTACTTCTATTTTTTGTTTTGTTCCATGTTAATTTTATTATTTCTATTTGCTTTGGCAACACTGATTGTACCCATCGGTCATGCTAATAAAGCACCTTGAATTGAACTGAATTGAGAGGGAGGGGGGAGGGCCGACGTGAGAGAGGGAGAAGGAAAGAAGGAGCACTGTGATGAGTTGTGCAATTACCATGACAATGTGTCTGGTTTATCCACGCCAAAACGGCACCTTAACCGCTGCAGCTCAGGCTGGAGAGGCAGGTGAAGTTACAGCTCAAGAGGAGGAAGCAGGCCCAAACTGAGGGGAAAAACAGGAAGGCTGGGAACTACAAACAGGACAGCCCGGCCTTCAGGTGCCAGGACTATTCAGCTCCAAAAGGAGGAAGGAAAAATTGTCGTCTTCCTTTCTTTCTTTATAAACTGGAACTGCCCAGCATGGAAATAATATCTGCTGCTCCTAACAGAAGTATATATTTTTTTCCAAGCCCTAACCCATTATCATTAATGTTATGAGAGCACATGTTCCGACACATCCAGCCTTCCTCCACATAAAGCCAATTATGTGGAGGAATAAATAAAGCTAAAGCAAATTTGAGTGTTATACAGGGAGTTATTTTTAAGATTCTCTATTACCCTGTTAGACAGAGTATCTGAAGGGGCTTTGAACACTGCAAATTCAAAACGATTTATTGATGCAATCAAAGTGTCAACAACAAACAATTAACAAAACGTTACACATATTTATTTCAGACACTCATTACCTTGACAAAGGTGTGGCACAAACATTTACTGCCACTTCTTCAAAATACCGCTTCCAATAACATCTAAACTGTACAGAGTCGCATCACATAACTCTTATGATGCTAATCATAGCAACACACTATAAAAGCTGCACAACAGATTTCCTATCAGTTTATCAGCCCCGTTTCCATTGGTGTGCTGCCCTGTGTGACCTCTTGAGAAAGAGCTGCGCTCCCTATATTGGGGGAAATAAAACAGCACAGGATACAATGATAGCCATTCTCCTGATTGTGCCACTCCCCAAAACACACCTTCAGCGCTGGCCCCTGGCTGACCCCCTCCTGCTTTCAGTGCTGGGGTCACTGAAAGGTCGCTCTCGGCTCTGTTTTGTGTCACCACCACAGCCACCCCATCCAGGAGCGTTTTCTTGCCTTTCACTGCAAAACCCTTAAGCATTATATCACGCCGACACACGCCGAACAGCATCTTATAAGTTCTCACCCAGCCACAAAGGGAAAGAGTTCAGCAAGAGCACATACCTATTTTATGTTTAAACTTTGGAGTTGATGTGCATCTCTAACAATCATTTAATAATATAGTTGGAGTTACTTGTCAGCTATAATTCACAGTGCACAAACTGCAAATGTTTTAAATATCAGACTGAATCTGAAACACTTTTTACAGAGAGCTTTTCTGTAATCCAACAAAGCTCACAACACATATTGTGTGGGTCTGCTTGGACCTTTCTGTGAGTTTACGTCTGCTGAAGGATTCCACAAATCATTCATATTTGGTGGAAGAAATCCAATGTGACTTCCTCACTGACCTTTGCCTAGTACAAGTCGTATTTCTGCTGGAGTAATGATACAGATGCCCTTTGATAACAGTGTCTCCTGTTTGTTTTGCCTTTTAAAACAGTCAAGTTCTCCCTCTCGGACTGTGGGAACGGAGCCCAGATAACCACAGAATATCTTACAGTTCAGACTGGAATCATTGGCAGGGACAAATGGCCCCTGATTGACCGAGCAAAGAATAAAACAAGAAAAATGAAACTAATCACAAAATAAAAATACAGAGAATGAGAGAGCAGGAGAAAGATACAGAGGTATGTTTAGAATATATCTTTGCATAGTTTTGCCTGTTTCCTTTCAAAAGACTTACTGATTTTCTTAATATTTGACTCTGTGCTTCACGGAACAAAGGTACTGTACATGCTTCTACAATGCTGTTTAACAGCAAAGTTTAAGAAATGAGCTATACTGAAATGTATCACCTGAGACGGGGATATAGGCATCTAGATATGCTTATCTATTTAGCTGAGTGTCAGTTCACTTTTGAAATCAGCTCAATTCTTATTGGTTCGCTTGCTAATTATAGTTTTACTGTAAGTCCTTTGGTATCAGGCCTTGTGATATGGTAATCAGCATGAGCAGGTGCTCCTTTAAAACTGCATTCACAGAAACATGAAAGAGAGATCTGAGAGGAGATCCATTAGGCCCAGATCCTACAAACCTCAACAAACGTCTTGTAGCAGTGTATTGAAAACCAGGCAATACAGCTGTGCCAACAAAACTCATTGAAAGACTTTTCCATTACAAATGATGGCTTTAAAACTGTACAAGGTACCTGGAATTGATATGAGCTTTAAAACAAATTGTGACAGACTGTATCTGCATCATGTGTGCACTGGGTAAAAGATTTCCCTTCACCCGAAACACTGTGAAGTAGGTTAAGCCTGTGGTTAATATTTGTATAAACCATTTTTCCCCTCTGGCTTTCTAACAGTTTTGCACACAATTAAGTCACAATGCCAGGAAAGCTCTCAGGCTGAGGCAGGTGGACTTTAATCCAGGTCATGTGAGCTGAGGCATTCAGAGCCTCAGTGACAGCACAAAACCTGCACAGCCGGCAAGCTGCAGAGAAACCCAGAGAAACAGTTAAAACAATGCTCAAAACTTTTTGCTGAACTGCAAAATTTGTTCCACCTGCACACCGATTCCAAATGAACACTCTATAAGTTTCTAGAATCCATGACAAGTATAATCCTGCATATAAAATAATTTCCAAATATATGTGCCTTTTAAACTCATCACAATCTATGCTCATCACAGGGCACTCTGGTTTAAGGTTTTGGTAAAAACTTGACTCTCCCAAAAACAAATTTCCTACCATCTTCACTGAACTGGACCCAAACTGTCACAGGGACAAACAACAAGCGCTGGGACATGCCGACTCCTTTTTGATCTTCCATTTTTGAAAGTGTAAAAATTCACCTGTTGAGCCCTTCCCCCCATTGTACTCTCTGGTGGTGTCCCTGCAAGTGTTGGTCTGTCTAGGAGGCAATCAGCCACCCTGACCTTTGTTACATTATAAGGCTTTGCTTGCTCAGCGAGCCCAGGATCTCATGCAGACACATCATTTGGAGACAATTAAATGTACAACACGCATCCTAGCGATGTGTTTTCCCCTCTTGTTCACTGTCTTACTCGGCTATCTGTGTGTGCAGGGGAAACGTGACATTTCCAACTCCACTACTTTCTTCTTCTCAGACTTTCAGCCAGCCGTTGCCATTTTCTAATCGTGTGTCCATCTCTGTGGATCCGAGCCCATATTTTGACACTCTTTCTGAAGTAGTTTTTGCATATTGGAGACAGTCTCAATCGGCACAAACAGAATTCGATCCAATTTTAGGAAATGAGAAGCAAGTTCCATTGCTGACTAAACAGCACCAGGAAACTCCCACTGTATTTCACTGCGGCCATACAGCAGAAGTCAAAAATGGCCCTGAAACACGCATGAACACACACACTCAAAGAACACGGAACAAAGCAGCGTTAGGTCATAAATGTAAAGTAGCATAAAATTGCAGCTCAATTACTTTACAAGAATGCATGAAATTGCTGAATTGGAAGGAGTGCTCAAAGATGATGCTGTCCCTGGCAGGAGGCCCAGCACAGCAGTGTGAAGAGAGTAAGGAGAGGGAGCTGCTGGTGTATCTCGAGCAATGCGTCAGTCAGGGAGAGTGTCCCTCAGTCAGCAGTCTCTCTGTGCCAGCCATTCATTCAGTCAGCGTGCTGCATTTGCCAGTATCCAATCAGTTCTGTCAGTCAGCGTGCTAAGGAACAGTCTTATACAGTTGATAAAGTGTCTGTGCTACCAGTTTAGAGATAGGGAATACCGTACAGTACTGTATCTGAGACCGCTGTTATTGTAACCTTTACTTTTCCTGACCCTTATCATTTGAACTTTCGGTCTTTAAAACCATAGTCACGTCAGGTTAATTACTGTATATGATGTTCACTCACTGCTCCCTCAGCATATAGAAATCCGACCTTAATAGGCTACTACGGCTGAGCCTCTGGGTTGTAAAAAGTTTTAAAAAATGATAGTACTTACAAAAACAGCACGCTGCTCTCTCTTGTAGGACAGAAGAAGACAATGTCAGGTCACTGTGATGACAGAGACTTAATTACAGCACCATTTTAATTGTTCAGTCTGGACAGAAACCGCGGTTCTGTTAGAGCATGAAATAGGCTTTCCCTGTCTCTCTCTACAGGTTAAATGAAGCGAACTCGCACCCACCACGTCTCTCAGCATCTCTCCAACAATAGTAAAAGTGAGAGACTAAAAGCAACCCTGACACACGCTAGACACGTCAGGCCAGTATCAAGATCCCAGAGCCGCCTGTTGCGCTGCTTGAGAAACTCCCATCAGAAAACGAAAAGGGCAACTCTTCACACCCCTGCAGAAAACGAGTGCAAAGCAACGCCTACCCGATTCCGACACAACCTAGCCTTTTGGAGAAAGAGACAGAACAGCTATGGAGTCAGCCCCGTGAACTCAGCCGCCACGGCGAGGTGAGCGGTGCTGCCTGCCACTGACATCGTGTTGCTGCTGAACTTCCCGCAACTACGCCGCCGCTTCGCCTGGCTTTGCTCCGAATTCGAAGTAGCTCCGATAAGCCATTGAAAACAGTACAAGGCATGAAAGAAACAAAATCAAACGATGATCGACCTACCTGTTGAAGGAGCCGCTGTCACAGCTTCCTCACTTTTCCCATTCGTGCTTCCCGTCCTCGCTCTCTCGCTCTATTTTCCAGTTCCTCTCTCTCTCTTTCTATCCCTCAGGGGAAATGCTTCTCCATAACAACCGTTCTCGTTTCCGGACCTTTTCCTGACGACATCAAGCGGCGACCGGGAACAGCTCAGCGGTATGGGACGTTTTTTCGAAGGCGCAGAATGGATAAATAGAAAATAATTATATACAGTAGTAATAAATATAACAAATATTAATAAAGTTTAGAGTATTTTGTACAGCAATCATCGGATAATGAGGTTACAATTCGAACTAACGTAAAATCCAGAAAAACAGTTTAGATGCGTCTGTAGGAATTGGAAGTTTGTGAAAAATCAATATTTTCTCAAAAACGGATAAAAACAAAACTCAGGCGGTCACAGACAACTGGTAAATCAACAAGAAACCCCCTGAGCAAGCTTACACGAAGAAATATAAAAATTCAAACGGTTTAAGTGAGCAGAGGGAGAGTTTACCGTTACAAAGTACTGTGAGGATCGCAGTAAATCGGTTATGAAGGAGAAGCCCTTGGCGTCGGCATGTCTTTTTCTGTATTTGTATTCGGTATTTGTGAAATAAGAGTAACATCAAGAATAATGACGAGTGACTGCCTACTAAACCACGGGTAGTCAACCTTGACAACTGGAATTCTTGGCATTACAGCATTTTGAGCCTGGGGGGAATTGATCCTTAATTAATTTACCAGAAAATTAAAGATAAAATGGAGTAAAATCCTGGAGTGGCTGATAATCTAGGGTGCCAAAGTTAACTACCCCTGGCCTAAACTGTCAAAAGGCTGGACCAAAATTTCCACCCCCGTTCCCCAGAATAGTGAGCAGAGATACAGGGTTGAAGCAGGTTCTTTCTCTGGAAGGGACGTTAAACTGAAGCCCTTACTATTTGGTAAAGATCCTATTGCAGTATTCATATGTTTAGGGATGTTAACAATATCCTGACTGAATTCCACTTAGTGCCTGCACACTTTGACCTCCTTCAGTTTCACTCTTCTACCTCCTCTTCATGGAGAGTAAGCTGGGGTATTCGAAGAAAAATTCTTAATGCAATAAATTGTATAGGGCTAATAAAGTGATGTTATGTTATGTTATGTTATGTTATGTTATGTTATGTTATGTTATGTTATGTTATGTTATGTTACCTTATCTGCAGCTGCTGTCATATAATGGCTGACATGTGTCATCTAATTGGGAGCTACACAAAATCAGTCTACTATTGACAGAAAACAAAAGTCTGTATGAGACTGTTAATATTCTGTTTCCAGCCCTCTCCAGTATGTAATGTTCAATAGGGATCCACATTTTGTTGGTTTATTACCAGTTTAAACTACAATTACAGGAAACTTGTATTATAGCATTAACATGATAATACAAGTTAAGGGAATCGGGATGCTTACTGCAGTAGCTGAGCACACTACAGACCATAGGGGGAGCTCACTGTACAGGAATCAGCCTGCCTATGGTCCATAAGCAGTTCTTCGTGTTTTGATGAGCTGAGTGAAGGAGGCTGAAAACACAATTTCTGACTAAATATATTGTCCATTATATAAGAAAGATTACTGCAAGGATGACTGCAGGATACCTGATCTGGCATTTTTCTAGAAAAATATGAAATGATCCTGCCCACAAATTGTTTGCAACCTGTGTGAAACTTCATTGCCACAGTCTAGACAAACTGAGTTCTTTAGTTTCCTTTGGCGCATTAACAAGCACATTAAAAATGAATTTCCCCCAGAAAGAGGGTATCAGCTCTAAAAACTAACCCTACAGCCTCACTCCCTCGGCTCCATACAGTCTCCCATGCTGCTTTGATCAAACATTTGTTACACACAAAACACACATCATGTTTTGACATTACAGGAAAAATACTTTGTTCTAAGATAAATATATACATCTTCTCTTCCTTGCAATAAAATACAGAAACTGCAGACAAATAAAGTTAGCTCAGAATCCCTGTTAAGTGATACTGCAATAAAATACAGATTAGCAAGCATTCCCCGTTATTATTTTCTTTAAACATACACAGCAGTTGGCTCACCATGATTATTTTAAGCTCGTTGTGAATCTTTACACCACTGAGACTCTTTTTGTTTTGTGGAAATTTTCTATCATACAGACCACTATGAAAGTGTAGATGTTCTTGTTTGAGTAGCATACAGAACCTTTTATGACTTTTATGCTTCATAAATTAGTGCCACCCAAAGAAGGCTCAACAGCCCAAGTGCTGTGTTTCTTTTCTTCTCTTTTCAGCAACAAATAAACCTTTACTTGTTCCTTTGCAGCCTACACATGCTGACACGGCTACCTACTTGAACTACTTAAAGATAGATACTTTATTGATCCCGTGAGGGAAATTACAGTGCAACAGCAGCTTAACACAGATAACACAGCAACAGTGTAACATGGTACAATAATAATAATACAATACAATCAGTACAGTGAGAAGTGCACTAAGAAGAGTTACTCACAGTCCAGAACACGCAAAGAACAAACAAGAACAGAACAGTCCACAAAAAAGTCGTATTGCACAATATGAATATAACTATAAATGTATTGCACAGGTCCCTGGCATATATTGCACAAAAACGGTTGTAAACGGGAAAAGTTTACTGTTCAGTCCAGAAACAGGTCACTGAAAAATAATGTCCATCTGACCACTACATAGTACAAAAAGAGTTTCATATAAGAAGAGGCCATTTGGTCAATCTAGTCCATTTGGTAGTAGCTACTGTATTTCATCTTACCCACCTCCTCAAGATCCCATCTCATTTAACATAACCAGGGGAACTGCCTTCAACACCATGGCTGGCTAACATATTCCAGATTCCCACATTTGTATTGTAAGTTGCCTTGATATCGTCTAGGCAAATAACAGTAAAATAAATAATTTAAAAAGCAGATTAACACAACAGCTGGAAGTGAAAGACACTGCTCTTTTGTCTAGGGAAGACAAGGCTTGAAAACCCTCCTTGATGACTTTTTTTGTGCGTTGCGTTTCCAGCTGAGTGTGTCTTTTACACAGCTGAGGATAATCTCGGTGTGTGAGGGAGATAGTGCTGGCATGAGTGGAATCATTGATCTCTCCTGCAGACTGCAACAAACAGAGAGCTCTCTCCCCCTGGCATCCCTGGCTATTGTCAGGTCAGTGCAGTGGCTCCTGGAGTCGTAGGGAATCTGATTAGAAAAGGAAGAACAAAGTCCTACTGCTCAAAATCAGGAAGGGGCTTTTTAAGTGCCTGCTGAACCTTGTAAATTAGCACCACGGCAGATTTACGTGTTGTTTAATGACTTTATTGTGTCCTTCTGTGAGAAAATAAACTGTTCGCTTCTTACTGGTACCTAATTTAAAAAGACGTGAGCTGTGCTTACCTCCTCTATACAGCTCTCATGTATAATGTACTGTATAGCCCACAGACACAGCAGAGCTCCTATGTATATTTTAGGTTCTGTTTATAACACCCTTCTGGGGTGGCAGCTTAGATCATCTGTGGCTCTTGGTGTCAGCCTGCACTGTGCTAGTTTTGTGTAGATGACTATATACTATTCACATCAGAAACAGCCACTGGCCGTTGTACAAGACCAAGGATGGGTGTGGGTCCCATTACCTTTAATTTGTATTCTCTGATGGGCCAGTGTAGCGACCATTATTCCTCTCCCTTGGTGACCAAACTGGGAATCAAAGATTAACAAAGCTTCAGGCCATTCTGATCCTTTCCAGTCTGATCTTTAGAGAAAGTACATTTCACCTCAGAGATTGTATAGACCAGTGCCAGGAAAGCTCCCATCAGATTAAGTTTCTATGTATATTTGTATTTAAAATGAAAAAAACATCAATTCAAGTTGCAAAATGCTGCATATTCATGATAAAAACAAAATAATTTATATTGTCTATTGATTCAGTGATGTGAGAGGTTTATCCTCAGGACACGGACAACTATAACATCTCATTTTCCTTCAGATGTAATACCCCAGAAATGCTCTGTGCAGCTTTGAGGGACACCAGGAGAGTTACTGTCTGAGATCAGTTCTGCTGTTGACCACTGGAAGGTATTCCTCACAGACCTAAGGGTGCCTAGCATCCTTGCTCCATAATTAGACCATTGTTAGAGGCCGACTACCTTTATGGGTGAAATCGGTGTTTCAAAACCTTTTCCAATACAACACCTCCCTCCCAAACGTACAGTACATATCACCGCCCCAAACACATCCTTATTAATATTATGAATTAAATGTATTTAAATGTTTAATCCTAGGTTTCCTCGGAAGGCATAATCTCCTTATTAAATAATAAGAATTAATGTGAAGGAGCTCTAGGTCAACCGCAATCAGACGTTCGCGGTTTACGACTACCGAACGAGAAAAACTGAAATGCCACTCGCCACTGTAACTCTGAATTGGACAAGCGGTAATTAAAAGTGAGGAGATGATTTGAAACGCGGTTCCAAACTTAAGATGATCGTGACCTCGGTCTCGTGTCTATAAAATGAACGTGCAACATGAAAAAAACTTATATCTAAAAAAGTCTTGTTCTTAAATTCTCAAATTAAACGCGGACCTATACAACACTAGATGATACAGGGACTGAATCCCCTCCTATCGTGACATCGGTACAGGCAGGTGAAGGTGCGATTACTATATTTCGTTTACTGTTCAGCAGTACTTCCAACCCTAGTACGTTGTTTTTTTTCCGTAGCCGAGTTCCTAAACACGGTTATCTGCTTTGAACATTTGTAAATTACTTTCAGTTTTTATAAGGTAAAATGGGATTTCATAACTGCCCTCATTCAGGTCTTGCCTGAATATAACCAAAAGGACCTCCGCAGCAAAAACAAATATTTGTGAGAGCTGTTTGATAGCGGTGTCTGTTCATAATACATTGATCAAGTAACAACAGCTTGTAAGTCAGAAATTATAGTAAGAAAGTTTAGGACAAGCTGAGTAAAGTTCTCTGCGCTAAAGCTGTTGAAAACAGTACCCTCGAATTACAGTAGGGGGGTTTGACAGAACTCACCAAAGAAACAAGTTAAATAAAAGTCTAAACAAGCAGACCAACCGAGTCACCGATTTGCACGGGACTTGAAGGGCTAAACTGGAATAGAAAGCAGCAGTGTCCCTGAAGGCCAAGGCAAGAGAACCACTGCTGTAGAACTACAGTATATACTTATTATACTGGAGACCATTCATTTGCGGTGAACTCAGAAATCGAAGCAATTAGAAAAAAACAAAACTGTACAAGAGTCTATTACATCTTGAAGAGAGCAATCGGATGTTTTTTATAATAGCTTGGTTTATACGCACATTTTAAATAGCTATTTGAAAAATCTTACTGTACAATAACGCTCGAATGATACAACGGAAGAAAAAAAACTTAAAAGCTAAAGTGAAATTATAAGTCTTTAGGTTTTAAAAAATGTCCATAGACGCAGAAGCAGATTCTAAATTCGAAGACCTTTACTGGCGTGTCAGATGAATTACAGTGTTGCTAAAGCAACACATAACCCAATAACATAACACATAACAAGAATATAACATATTGTCATTTTGGGACCTGGGCAGTCATTTCCTCGGACGTGATGCTCGATCGCCTATTGAAGAGATTTAAAACTCCGGTCACGTCCAGCTGGTATATGAATTTTACATCTCCATCTTCTTAAAAATAGGAAAACATTCAACTTTTTAAATTACGCACATAGCGAGTTAAATTAGGTGAAGTGTAATTAGAACTAGAAAACAACCTTCTGGCCCTCGAAGTTTGGGGTTTTCAAAAAATGTTTGATTAAATCTAAGAATTAATTGTTGCACAATATACACGTATATACATCCTTAAAATAACCCGGAGATTGACCGTTCCGTGCTTTTAGAACTCATTTATTCCAATTTCGAATTTCGATTGAAGGATACGATGCACTATCTGATGACATCATCGCTTTCGGAAAACAATATTTTTGTTCGAATTTAAGACAATTTATTTATTTACACTCGAATTGGTGATAAACTATATACAGTGGTTTCGCCAACAGGCGTGTTAAGGAGAAGCAGACAAGAAGGGAATCAAGGAAGATAATACCGAGAAGGTTCAATTTCATTAACTTATACAACTGGAATTGTTGTCATTATTATTATTATTATTATTATTATTATTATTATTATTATTATTATTATTATTATGTAATCACTTTGGGAAGCAGATGGATAGACTAAAAACTAACACTGAGTAAAGTACAAGTCTGTTGGTGACAATTTGAGAACGGGAATGTTAATTTTAGATTGAAATGTGCTATGACATTAAATCCATTGTCTTTCTTCGGTTCTCCTTCTCCCATTTCCTTTCCACCTCCCTGTCTTTCCCGCTGTCTCTCAGTAATGGAGACTGTGACAGGTTACCGCGATCCCCTGATAGATTTCTGTGACGCGATGTCCCGCTGGTTTTGCTGTTACCGGGCCGCGGTGTGTGGCCGGACAAAAGAAGAGAGCAGGGGTGCTGACGGTAACGTGAAGCGATGCCCCCGCCTCCCGGTGGATCAGGCCAGTCCTCATTGGTTCCTTCATGTGCTAGACTGCAGCCCCGTCTCCGCCAAGGTCAAACCATGGCTCAGCTTGGCCAGTCTAGACCAATCAGATCTAGGTGAGCAGAGCTGGACAACATTAGAAATGAGAAATGTACCTAAGTACCACACTGTTAAAAATGGATCCCCACCATTTCTGTCTCTGTCTCTGAGGTTATTGAGAGGTGCCACAGGGGGCAGTTTTAGGACTGCTGCTCTTCATAATTTACATCCATGTTCTGAGCCTAAGTTACTCTTAATTGTGACTTCTCATTAATTGTACTACAACCAATCCCTTAGTGGTTTAGTTGATAATTAAATCAGGGTCAATATAGCAGTTAAGGGGATTTACTGTAATGAGCAGATTGGAACAATGTCTAGACTAAAGTCAGTACAATGGTCAGTTCAGTAAATAATGTGAAAATAAGAGGAGCTGAAGGTAATGTGTCTGATGTAATGTAGCAAAACATCTAATAGAGAAAACGTGGCCACAGTTCAGACATGGGCAGATCCCTGGAAATTCAAATTGAATGTGTAGAAATGCACGGTTATTACATGCAGGTTGCAAAATATTCTGTATGTGTTAGGTGTCAAATAGGTGGTATTGAACTAGATAAAAACATGTAAGAGAGCTTTGTTCTCTGGTAATGCAGTGGTTAGCATTTACTGCCTCACAGCACAGGGGCCCTGGGTTCAGTTCTGGACCTCAGTGCTGTCTGTGTGGAGTTTGTATGTTCTCGCCATGTGTTTCCTCTGGGGGCTCGGGCTTCCTCCCACAGTCCAAAGACATAAAGGCAGGTTATGTGTGTGTCTGTTTTTTTGTGTGTGTCTGCCCTGTGACTGGAGTCCTCTTCAGTGTACCCCACCTTGTGCCCATTGCTTGCCAGGATAGGCTCTGGTTTCCCCAAGACCCTGAATTGTAAGAAGCGGTTAGAAAATGGATGGATGGAATTATGCTATGTCATTGTCCCTTTTCCTCCACGCAGTGCAGTGAAGCTGTATAAAGCCAAGAAAATGCTTGGTTGTGTGGATTTCAATAGAATTCAATTTGAGGGAAGCAATGAAGTGGAATATTGTGTTCAATGTTGGGCACCACTTTGCAAGAATGGCTCTCTCGTTCCTGGCCTGAAGAGAACATCATAATCAGATGGATTAAGGGAGTTTTTTAGCTTAGAACATATCAGGTATTCAAAATCCTGAAGTGAATCTGATTCAGATCAGGGGTCCTTTTCAAGATCAGCAGCAATCAAGGAATGCAGGGACACAAATGCAACACTCAGGACAGGAAACACAAAGTTATTCTACTGGAACTCCATAACTCATCCAAACTGACAGGACTCTTTCAGCAGCAAAAGGCTGTGCTACAGTCACTACTCAGTGGGTGACAGCAGGGTCAGTTTTGTAGAATGTACTGTCTCTCTCTGTCTCACCCTCATTGGCTGGTCCCATCTTCCACTCCCTCCCAATCAATTCAATTCAAGATGATGGATGAGTACAATCAGTGTTGCCAAAGCAAATAAAAATTAACATCAAACAAAACAAAAAATAAATATAAAATAGAATCTACAGACAACTTAAAGACATTTACAACAAAGACATATCATAAAAAATTTACATATACTGTAAACATATGGAGCATTATAGGGAAACAGACTCACTGTTCCTCAGGCTATGACGGGAGATCACATTCTGCCAATTCAACTGAGTTCCTGTTGTGATTCTGGCAGGTGTGGGAACTCTGGACTTAGATTTCTGAATTTAGGGAATAATTTGTGACATTAGCGTAGTGACAGTAGCACAGTGCCCATTCACTCTCTGTGCTATTGTGTGCTGGCGTTCACTGTGCAAATATTGAACTGCTCCCACTCTTCCTTCTGTCAGCAGAGTGTACGGTACAGCGCCTCTTCCTGGTGACAGACAGTGCTGGAGTCCCCCTGGGATTTGACCTCCTGGAGGGAGGAACCAAAGGAAACGTGCCTGTGCTGAGGATTGTGGGATTGCTAAGGCAATGTATGGAGGCACCCCTGGGTAGAGGTGGAGCCAGGAGACCTCTGACACTCACCGTGGGTGACAGACAGATACACAGGTCAGTCAGACAGACATCAGTTCAAATAGGAAGGAGAAACACAGAGTCTGTCACATTTCCTGACATTTTAGTGTAAATGTCTGTCAGTATGATTGCTAATATTTATTGCTTTGACAACACTGTAATTAATTTCTCATGCTAATAAAGCTCTTTGAATTTGGTAGAAATGATAAACATACAGACTTACTAACACATAGAGAAGGGGTGACAAAGAGGCTGATGGACAGGAAGGTTAGCAACAGATATGTTAGTATACAGGCAAGTAGACAGAAGAAGCTTTTTTGTATTTTAGGTTTATTTATTTAGGTTTACGTATTTAAAAATAGATTAATTTCCCTTTTTCTTACTTTCACCCCCTCGTTTTCCCATCGCCCTTCTCACGTGCCCCATCTCTCTCTCCCAGGATCCTCTCTGGCAATGCCCTCTCGGCCCTGGGAGTGGAGCTGTCCAAGCAGTGTTTCACAGGCTGGGCACCGAAGGAAGGGTTCGCCCTGCGCTGGCCCCCAATACGCCACTGCCACGTGTGTAAGAAACATGCCTTTGAGGCCCCACTGAGACCCTGGTAAGGCAAGGAGGGAAAGGGAGAGAGGAGGATGAGTGTAGGAGAGGAAGAAGGCAGAAGAGGGAGGGTGAGTGGGAGAAGGTTGGGAAAAGGAAGGAAAATGAGAAGACAGAGGGAGAGGGAGGGATGAATGAGAAAAGAGAAGAAGAGAAAGTAAAGGAAGAGAGAGGATGAAGGATGTTTGTGTTAATTGTGCACACATTATACTAATTATATTAAACATCCCTAAATTTCTAACTAGTGATTTCATGTCTTTACTGAAATATTTAGGGATTTGAACCCCCTATTCTCCTATTCCTACTTTGGCATGTATATTGTTACTGTGTGCTGTCCTGTACTTCTTTACCCTTGAATTGTTTTCCTTTGCCTCCCTACGCTTTGCATCTTTCTCTCCTCTCTGTCTTTCTCTGTGTTTACATCTCTCTCTTCACTGTTGTTTTATCCTCCTCCACTTCTCTCTTTCACTCCCTCCTTCCTCTGGAATGCCACACTTCATCTGACACTTTCATACTGCCCCTCTGCGCATTTCCCACTTCCCGGTCTCTCTGCTTCTCCTTTCCTCCTCCTCTCCCTCTTTCCCAGCCCCAAATGTCAGGCAGTGCTGTACTGCTCAGAGCAGTGTGTCCAAGCGGACTGGTCCAAGAGCCCAGCTGATGTCAGTCACCAGCACTGCTGCCCCCTGCTGGGCAAGTTCATGTCGCACTGTAGTCAGCTGGCTGATATGCCTTTCACTTACTCTGCAGGTGAGAAACGCAATTAATTAATTTGTTTGTTCTTCTGTTTTTCTTCACCTCACAGCCATGTTTGTCCCTTTCGTCTGTTAGTCAGGAATGAATCATTCACTTTCTCTTCTGTAACTAGAGTTCACAGTTTCAGTCTTTTTTGCTCTCTCCATTTCTTTCCTTGTCTCCCCAACTCTGTTTCTCTCTTCTTCTACCTGTACATCTCCTACTTACACTACAAACCTTGCAAGAGCACACAGGAGAGAAGAGGTGTAGGCAAACTCTTCTGACCTGCTATCCCCAAGACTCTCCTCTTTTGACACATCATGGGCAGCACAGCCCCATTCCAGAGGTTTTGTTGATGACTGGGGGAGAGGCACATCCCTTACCGACAGTACTGCAAACTCCAGGCAGCAGGGGTTGCATTGTCACCAGGAGTTGAGAGAATCCTGGCAACTAATCTCACCCTACTGTGAGAAGTGATCTGTCAAATTGTTCAACACTGATGGGGAATCCCAGTCACAGTCGGCTAGTGAAGGCTTGAACCCCCACTTGTGCAGGCGACTTTGCTGGTTGAGCCATTCAGGAGGCTTTTTTTCTTCCTGCCCATTTTTTTCACTTCCTTTCCCACTTGCTTGTTCAGAAACAACATCACCAGACTTTGATGTGGAGCACTTCCTGTCATCTAGAGGCTTGAATAGTGGGTACTGGCTGCAGCAGAGCATGCTGGTCCATTCTGCCTTCCAGGAAGTGGAGCCAGTAAGGAAGCAGCCCAGAGAGAGCTCCCCAGCAGAGCTTGCAGGTTTGCATGGGCAAGGGTGAGGCATAGCTGGGCCTTTAATCTGTACCCCAACACATTATAATCTATTGCCCCACATCTTACGAATCTAAACACTATACCTTGAAATTCTATTGTCTAACCCACAGGCACTACTATAGCGTATTTCCCTATGGTTTACACCCTGTTACATTAAACCCTACTGCTCTTTTGGCTACATCATAGCTACCTGCTATACAACCTATACCCTGATGGTCTATAGCCCAGATGTTATCCCACAGATTAATAGACTGTACCATTATACTCCATAGCCTTACTTTCATTGCCCTGTAACCTACCTACTGCCTATATGCCAACACAGGCCATGTTGATCTATAGATTATATTTTAAGCCATTTTGCCATTCTGCCCTGGAACCTGTATTCAGATATCATGTATCTAATATGTGGTCTATACCGTTCATAACCCAGTTCCCTAGACCACACTCCAATAAAGTTCATGCCATACTCTACTATACTGTATACTGTACTGTATACTGTACTGCTGTGGTGCTTTTCCTTCTGCTTCAGGTAGTGTCTGCTTCAGGAGCTCAGCAACTTTGTCACTATCATTCTGGTCTATTGAAAATCTTTATCCTACTATCTTTTACTTAGTTGTAGGGACCGCTCAACAACTAAGGGCCAAGCAGTAACAAAAGCTCAAGTTAGATTGAACTCCTGCACTGGAGCAGTCCCTGGTCTTTTGTCTCTAATTATGATCCTAACCCTGTCTTTTTGGATGTGTCTAGCTCCCAGGCAGCCCTTTGGTCCCTTACAGGAGTCAGAGATGATGCTCAGCTGCTCTCCCCCTACTGCTCCCAGCTTAAACACCCCTCTGGGTAAGACAGTGTCATAACACTGCTCACAATCCTGTATTTCTTTCTGTCCTCACAGCAGGACTCTTCTCCCTCGTTGTTCACTGGAATACTCTCACTCTTTCTCTCAGTGCCCTGACTATAACATTGCCCCCTTGTTCTCTCTTAGCCTACTGCAGTCTCAACATTCGGACTGTAGTATTATCCCTCAGTCTCCTAGTATTCTCATTGTGGTTTTATTGCTCCCTATCTTACCCTGATTATCTTGACAGAAATATTATTCCTCTCTCTCAGTGTCCTGGCTGCAGTATTACAAGTGGCGTGGGTTCGATCTCTCCTCTCCAGTGGCAGTCCTGCTCAGCTGTCCTCTCACTATTTATTACATCATCACCTCACTGGTGCCTCGTAACTGTGAGTACTTGCCCGTCTGACCGCACATCTGTCTATCTGTCTGTCTTTGTATGGTTGTCTGACTTGTCTGTCCTTCTCTTTGTTTTCACCTTGCAATTTTGTCTCTGCATCAGGTGTCTAGTGCAGGAGATTGTCAACTTTGTTACTTTCTTTCTGCTCCATTGAAAATCTACCCTTTACTTATCAAAGTGATCTACAGCTGGAGAATCCATTAAATAACTAAGGGACATGTAAGAGATGGACTAGTGTTCCATTTATGATGTTTCCTGACCTGCGCCTGTTGCTTTCCAGGATAGGCTCTGGCTCCCCTGCAACCTCCATTCGTTGAAGTGGTTAGAAGATGAATGGATGGTTTAAATAAGCAAAGACATGATTGCAGTGGAACAGAATGGATTTTGAAAGGATACCTGGTCTAGTGTGTCTTTAACTGTGGCGCTATCCCTGACATGCTCTGAGTCTCTCTTTGTATTTGCCTGAATCTATTTTTCTGATCTCCCCTCTATTTGTGTGTCTCTCCTTGGCACAGTCCCAGAGCTGAATATCCTGAAGAAGCAGTCACTGAAGATCCACATCATTGAGAGTGAGAGGGAGTTCAATATGCTGCTTACCTTCTGGGTGAGGCAGCCTGTCTGCACACACACACCACTCAGTCTGTCGTCTCTCTGCTCATCTGTCTCATCATTTGTCTATGGCTGTTCCTGATCTCCAGCCTTCCACTCTTATACTTCCAATAATGTACACACAGGGTGCAATACCTAGGGGGTTCTTTTAATCACCCACATATGCCCTCGTTCTGCTTTGAAGGGCACTAGCATTGTGAGATATAACTTCGAAGACACATCTTGAAGTGAGCTTCCTTCATGCTTACCCTGTTTCACATTGGGGAAATTGAGTAGGAGGGATGTGTATGGTCCTCCTGCTTCTTTCTGCCTGCTCTGGTGTCTAACTTTGTGCGTTTGTCTGCTTTCCCAGGAGCTGTCTGACCTTCTCCCTCATGTGACCTTTGAACTCCTGTTCGTGGGGGAGAAGCTCCCCAAAGACTATGATGAGCAGCAGCTTCTACTGCAGAGGAAGGTATGGCCAAAACAGGTTACCCATGTCTCTGATTGATCCCTGATTTCTGTGACATCTACTCTGTATTCTGTACCAGGCCACAGGGGTATAACAGAATAAGCTAAAAGAGAGACGACTCGAACTCAGTCCAGTCCTTTCAAGCCACTCTACTGATGTACTTTAAACATTTTGTGAGAGAAAACTGCCTTATATAACAGAGTATAGTTTTTTGGTATAGGTGGTGGGTAACTGGGCAAAGAATACTGGATTATAAAATAGGTTGCAGTTTGTCTTGTAGTGGACTAGATTAGAGGAATAGGGAGTCTAATTATACAACTGGAGTCTAGAGAAGTAGACAGGATGAAGAGTGTAGAGGTATGAAGTGTTGTGAAAAGTGGCATGTAGGGTATTTGGGAAGAAGGTATGGGATTTGGTCTACAGAACACGGAGATACAGGCTGGAGGGTTTCAGGGTTCAAGAAGAAGTACTCATAGGGGTTAGACTTGGAAGGTGAACAGGATGTGGGTGTTTTGCTCAGCCACAACTTCACTGGTCATTGTTTCCTGATTGCACGCAGGATGGTCATGTGACCCTGGAGAGCCCTAGCATGGCATCGGAGGAGAAGACAGATAAGAAAAGCATCCGGGTCAGAATTTGCTCCCGGGCATATCACTTGTTTCAAGGTCCCAAACCCAACCTGGTGATTGGTAAGTATGGAAATAGTGGCAGGACCTCCAATTTTGTTTTCTTGTGTATTTGTTGACTTGTAATGAGCTGTTTCATTACATGGCCCTGTTTCTGTCTCTGTCTGTATCTGTGTACTGCATTGCAAGATACCTGCATTATCCATACCTTTCAGTCCATTGGAGTCTCAGGTGTCAATGTCAGTCTCATAGTCTCTCAGTCTTTTTCATATCTCTTCATGTCAGAGTTGCACTTTCTCAGTTTCTGCATTCGTCTCGCAGTAGTTCTGGTGGGTTCACCCTGACAACCAAAGAAGGCTCCACAGCCGAAATGCTGTGTTTTCTTTCATCTCTTTTCAGCATGAAATAAACCTATTACTTGTTCCTTTGTCTCACAGTGCCAGTAATTCAATCTCTCATGACCTCTGTGATTTGGTTTCCTTTTCTCCAATATTTTCTCTGTTTTTTCAGTTAGAATCTGTCCCCATTTTTCTCTGCAGGTTTCAGGTCAGGGTTTGGTCTTGGTGACTCTTGGCTCAGCACTCTGCCAAGGCTGCAGGTAACAATACTGTGCTGCTTGCAAGATTGTCTTTACCCATAATACTGTTTACATTTGGGCCTGTTTTAAAAAAGCAGAGTGAGGTTCTACATTCTGGTCCATTTTATAAACCCAAGCTTTGGTCTTTGGTATGGACCCCTCATTTTCTTAAACATTTGTTATAACCTATACCCTATTTCAAGGCATGTGTAGTGAATATTTATTTTAATAATTTAATCCCTTCTATCTAAGTCACTTGAGAGATTACTTGGTTTTTATAGTGTTTTCAAATCCAGAGGAATAAACTAATTAGTGCAAAAAGACTGTCCTTGCACAGCTGTGGGACTTCATTTCAGGTGGTTATTCATTTAACATTTTCACTGATAAATACTTTGAGCTCTAAGCTGTATTATTGATATTATATTAAGTTGTAGAATGAATGAAGGAGTAGGAAAAAATTAAAAGCCATTCTTTTGGTGTACACTATAGTAAACCTATATTCTACTGTTAAAAGGTGCCGTCCTTCGGATGAGATGTAAAACTGATGTCCTGATTCATGTCCTGATGTAGTCATTAAAAATACCAGGGCTTTTCTTGAAAAGAGTAGGGGTGTTACCACGGTGTCCTGGCCACTTTTTTTCCCTGGCCTTTACCAATCATGGCCTCCTAATAATCCCCGTCTATGAATTGGCTTCCTCACTCTGTTCTCCTCCCCACTAATGTGGTGAGTGTACTGGTGCACTATGGCTGCCATTGCATCATCTTGGTGGGTGCTGCACATTGGTGGTGGTGGAGGGGAGACCCCATTACCTGTAAAGCGCTTTGAGTGGGGTGTCCAAAAAAGCACTATATAAGTGTAACAATATAATAATAACAATAATAATAATGGTTCTCTGCTTGAGATGCTGTAGTCATGAACCAAGGTGATAGGAGTTGCAAAATGGAGAGGATAGAAGCAAATACCCCCTGTTGTGATTCTATTTTTACCAATTATTTTAGTACTGAGGGATTGTGTAGTTAAAGGAATAAATCAGAGTGCATAAACCTTTCCTGTGATCATGATCCCTCTTGCAGTTGCAGTATTGTAGTATTGTTGCACTTCTCTCCCAGGCTCTGAAGGTGCCAGCCTATTTCTGTGAGCCCAGTGAGGTGAGCTGTGTGTCCAGCCAGCAGGTCATGAGCACTGCAACAGGAGGGTCATTGTCTCCTCCGACACTCAATCCCTTCCACTGCCCCTTGCGCATTACCAGCAGAGACAGCTACCTGCCCTGGTGAGCAAGAGACAGGAGGGAGGGAAAATAGTACATGGATATAGGTGAATCCGTTTTCTCTCATTCATATTTGTATATCTTCCCATCATCTTTCTCTCTCCCCTCTTCTTCTTGTCTGCTTTCATCTTTACCTTTCTCTCCCTCTGTCTCCCTCTATCTCGCGCTCTCCTTCACTGCTCTCGCCGTTTTCTCTCCACCACTGCCAACCCCCTTTCTTCTCCTCGCCTCCATCTCCGGCTTTCAGCTACTCCAACGCGTTCGTTTTCCACCTCATCTACAAGCCCTCGCCCGCCGCCAAGAGAGACCATGCAGCTGCAGCTCCGGAGCGCCCCCTGTTGCCACACGTCAACGCTGCCTGCCTGCCCTCAGCCAGCCCCAGTGGGGCCCTGCAGGAGGACGTGTCCAAGGACGGCAGGGTGAAGCTCAGCCGCAAGGAGAGGAAACAGGCGGCCCGCAACACGTCTCGCCGCAGAAAGTAACCAATTACACCGACTGCCATCAGCTCGTGCGCTAACTACTGAATATAAATAAGAACAGAGGGGAAAATGTGTTCCTCTGTGGCTATTTGCCAGCTATGAATAAATAATATCTGTAAACCTGCAGTCGGTATTCAGTTTCTATTTTTGAAAATGTAATAAGATGTATCTCTTCCAAACAACGTGACATTTTCCTATGGCTTCCGAGGTCATGATTGGCACTAAAAATGTAGGAATGGCTACACACTATATATTTAGGTTTATTTATATATTGTACAAATCATATTTATTTCTCTTTTAAAATATAGGTTTTTCTAGTTAATAACAAATTGATCCAAGCCTCTCATCCAGATGTTTCTTCAAACATGCCAAGTTATCAGCTTTGACAATATGGTTGGGTAACTTGATCCACACCCCCACAACTCTTTGCGTAACAAAGTGCCTCCTGTTTTTGTGTTTTAAATGCACTTCTACATAGTTTCCACTTCTGTGCTCCAGTTTTTGAACATAAAGGATGAAAACAATGTTAAAATGTAATGTTAAAAAAAAACAAGAGGAGGCTATTTGGCCCACCTCCCCTGTTTGGTGATTTATTAATCTGTTTTGAAAGAAACGTGGTTGGGTAAGTTGTTCCATACTGGCACACTTACCCAATGTTATGGCAAAGGCCACATTTTAGTCTTCCATAACTTTACCTGTTGTAGATGTAAGAGAATGTTCTAGAATATCATGGCTGAATTCTGTTGCCCTTTTTAGGGATGGTCATTACATCAGCAATTGCCCAGTCTGCGGGTATCACCCCTGCTTGAATGATGCTGAAAGAGTTTGGCAATGGTCTTTAGAAATCATACCCAAAGAATGAAGACACAGAAGGGAGTATCATCTCTGGACTATAACAAATAGATGTAAACAGGAATTCATTTTGCTTTAGTTTTACAAAGGATTTCTGCCATATTTCTTGCAAGCCAACTGCCATATATTTCCCTCAATATGCTGTATGTTGTTCATTATTTATTATAGAAAATTATTAAATGATGTCATGGTTTGACAGCACTATAAATGACGATGATTCGTTCTGATGCACTTTGAATTGAACTGTGGGAGAAGGAGGGAGCTACAGGGCTGAAGGAACTAATGGCAGGAGGTGAAGAAAAAGAAATACAGGAGACTGAGGAAGAGAGAGGTTAAAGCAGAGAGAAATGAATTAACAGAGCTGGGAAAGAAAGTCATCGATACATTCAAAAGCAGGGGATAATGATTCTCTCTTCCCTGCCTCATCTTATTAAAAAACATTGCCAGCAATTAGGACAATGAGACACAAACAAAATATAACTGACCTGGAAACTTTACTTGACCTCACACTGTCAGACACAGCAGTCTAATCATAAGCACTTCATACTGAAATTGTCACTCCAGGTACAGATCCAGCAGGCACAGGCTTTGCTATTAGACACCCACTGTATAGCAGCTTGATGCTGGCCAGGTGTTTCCAGGTGAATTGATGAAGCAGAGAAAGTACTGTAAATGTGTCCATTATTTTGGATTATTTTATAACTTTATAGATCTGTTCAAAGTTATATTTAAAAAGGACCATTTGGTAACCCAGATAAATTAAAAATAATTTTATCTAAACAGAAAAACAGGCAAGTTTGTCTAAAACAACCTGGAACACATTATTTTTGGTCATTTTAATCTTGCATACATCTTGCTGTAAAAGCTTCCTTTTCATCTTCTGAGGTTTCAGTCAGTTAATGTATACTGTAGTTTAACCTCTTCTACAGAACTGTCAATGTTTGCCATTAACAAAAACAAGAAACAGAAAGCTGAAAATGTGAGATTGGAAGATCTGTTTCTTACACATACTGTAGCAGTTGCCCCAACCAAAAAAAAAAACACAGAGAAGCAGGAGGACATGTGAAGGGGAAAATAGATTGGTGTTGCACAATTCCTTGAACCCAGAGGCAGAGTTACTTACCTGTTTGCTCCTTCACTGTGTTGCAATGATCTTTCAAACACACTAGCCTTCTTAGTAGAGTATCTGTGGAAAGTACTGCATCTCTTGCAGTGTCTAACAGCGAAAATATTATTTTGTCAGTGTTGGAATTCAAATAAAATCCAAAGTTTTGCAACCTTGCACAATGCAGACTAGCCCTTTGTTAAAAGTCAGCCCTGACTGAAGGAATGAACTAACCTTCTGTTTGGTATATGACATTTTGTTTGGAATATCGGAGTGTGTAGGCTAGAAGGTCAAACTGTGTTCTTGGAGCAGCAAGAGAGGAACTGCATCATGTTGCTATCAGCAATTTCAAGACATCAGTAGATTTTTCTCAGAACAAAATTGTTTCTAACAATGAAGCTCATGAAAAAAACACAAATTTTGAAATTACTAGTAATTCTAAGAAACTCAGTCCTGTTACTTGTTCAGAAGTGACACTAATAAATGAATTGACTTCTGAGGTCGATTGCATTCAAACCTGTCTTGATCTGCATCATGTGTCTGGACTGGCAGTAACGTCAATATAATCCAGATTAGTTCTGACAGAATTCTGAGGATTTCAACCCACTTCTAGTCAGTAACTCACCCGGTGTTTATAATTGCGGTTAAATCGGTACAAGCCGATTGGGATAAATAAAATAGTGAGATCTCCATTTTGGAGAACATTATTGCAATTTCAAAATGTCTTGAACTGTTTTTTTTCCCATTTATTGAATACTAAATATTTTATTCGCTATCCCTCAACTGAACAGCGCTATTTAATGCAAACTTGTGCTTAAGCTCGTAAATCGTTTCATTGTTCATTTTGAGCACGCTACTTTGTAACAATTTGTAACATTTTATGGTACGAATGGTGAAAATATTGTATTTTCAACGAAAATAATAATATCTTTAGTGTTTTTTCGTCGTTTTCCTTAAATGTAAGATATGTCGATTAAGGAACGTAATTTTTCATTGTTGCTTACTATTACCAATTTTGCCCCTGATTTAGGGGCGATTTCAGGCATGTAAGTAGTTTTTACACGTGTCCCTTAACCCTCACTCAAACTAACGTCACTGTGGTCTTGCCCCAATCACACGCAGGCCACGGGGGTCACGGTGAGTTAACTGGAACCTGGATTCAGATGAGAGGGTTACTTGCATAGCTGGAGAGGTTGTGTGTTTGAATAACACAGGTCAGGTAGAACCTGTAGCTCCCCAAATCCTAGACGTTTTGTATGTTTCTGACTTGATGGTGTCTATTGTCCAAACGGTGAGTATGAGAGGGTTTTTCGTTCAAATAAAGAGTGTACAATAAATAGAGCTCTGGTAAAACAATGCAATTGTGCTTTTACTTTTTAAACACGGTTAATTTCACCTTTGTGAGTTTAAAAGATAAGTATTGGAATCGCCACTCTTTGTAAAGCGCTTTGAGATGCGCTCTGAGGCAAGGTCAAAGTAGAATATCGTATTTCAGATGGGAGTTTCATTCTCTTGAGACTAGAAGGGCGTAGAGTTTTTTGGAGTAGGCGTTGGGCTTTTTCTAATCTTTTTATTTTCTCTACCTGTTTTTGTGTGTTTCAAAACGTTTATTGTGATATACAAGGAATTTTCAAGTATTGTGAAGTGATTTGAGTTTTTTTAAAAGCACTATGTGATTATTTATAAAGCAAATATAAGAAATATGAAATCAGGCTAAAAACTGAAATCAGGGTATTAACTGGTGATGGCTCCGTGATTGCTCTGTAATAAACTAGTAAGCTAGGTAAATATCAATTGTTACGAACTTTCTTCCTAAAGTAAATACCTCACACGTATTAAAAACAAAGTTTTCACTGCAATGAACCCAATATTAACAGCTGTTCCTGTCTTGAGGGTATTAGAGTATGGGAGTAATTACAACTCTTAATATAGACTAAGCAATTTGGTAGTACAACTACAAATTTCCGAATGTAGTAGCAGTAATAAGTTGTTGATGATGGTTATTTCAGTAATTAAATAATATATTTAATACGTAATGATTTCAGCGTTCGTCGATGGCAACGATTAATGCACTATTTAGCTAACGTTGCATTCCAACCAACCAAAATACAAGGTCTCATTTTCTAATCATTAATGGAGGTTTCATCAGTATTACAACTGCTAACGTACATACAGTAAAGACTGTAATATGCGCTAAAGAGTTTTTATATGTATATATTGAGACGTATATTCTGCGGAGAGAAGCGAAATGAAATTAAGGCAAATACATGTAATTAAACTTGTAGTATGTGCGGTCCAATTTGAGTGTTATTCGAGTCTATTTGTTCCTCTGTTTATTGTGATGGTACTCCACATTGGTAGTTGTTAGAGGGCAGAAGGGGTATTGTGTAATAGAGCTACAGTGAATAAAATGCGTTATTTCATGTAGTAAGGGTATATTACAGAAAACATAATTTCAGAAGTTGTTGTTTAGGGCAGTTCTTCAAAACATTGTCAATTTTCTGTCTTATTATTGTGGTGCAATGAGAGTGTTTTCAGAACAGCTGGTGCTCTGTTCCACTTGAAGGTGGAACAGTTGGTTAATCCCAGTCCATAGCAAGCATGAGGAGGTGTGCACAGGACACAGTGCTGCTCCTGGCTCTTACTGGACTGGAATCCAGCTTGAATGACGGACAAGCTATTCACTGTTATAAAATTCCGAAACCTCAGTGTGGGTTCTTGGCTTTTAGGACTGGGAAATCACAGCTCAGTTTGAATGAGTGCAACGACTGCCATGACTGTGAGCAGAACTGTAAACGCTGCTAGTCATGAACATTCATGGTATGACTATTCCTGTTAACAGTATGACGAAAAGAATCAGTTTCAAATATCACGGGGCTAACAGAATCTGGAGTGTTGTGTTCAAAGGGTACCCCCCCTTTTTTTCTTGGATCATAATCGAGGCCCCAGCAGCTTAATCAACAGACACAACTACCCCTAATGGTCAAAATCCATGGACCTCAACTAGAAAACCTTCTTGAATGAAGTGCAACAAATGCATCACATGAAAGTGCACAAGGTTATCTCTTATTTCTGTAGTATTCATGCACAAATGCCAGAAGATGCCATTTTACAATAGGCTAAGTCTGAAGTCTTTTTTTAAATTTTTAAGCCTGTGTGATACACCACA